ATAATATAGTTTTTAAAAACAAAATAAGAAAAAAGATTGAAAGGATACATTGGATACATTGCAGCCCACCATATATGAAACTTACTCTTAAGTTGGAAAATTTTATTTCCATTAAGGGAAATAATTTACCTTAAATTATGTCATTTTATTTACCAGAATACTCAGTGTTTGAATGAAAAAGGGGTTGATATAATTTTGTTTTAGTTCAAGTTTACTGTGAAGAATTATTTAATATAATTTTTTATCCTTTGGGCCTTATTTTTATCCGTTAGTTCTCCCCAGAGTGTGTGTTTTGGTGGGGTGGGTAGGCTTGCTATATATCGGTTTGTGTCATGGTTTCAGCAGAAGAAAATACTGAATTTTATTCTTTTCAGTATTGAGCATATTAGAATGGATTGCTCCAGGTTTTTCAACTGGCTCAAGTCTAATATCTCTGCACTCATGCAGGTAGATATAGCTGATGAAACAAGAGTTTCTATGACCCTATCTGGTTATTCCTATTGCCAGAATCCTTTTGTGCACTTTCTGTGACCTCATTTCTGGACAAGAGGGGTGATCTGATGTTCGAGTTCATCACAAACCAGGCCCTCCACTATGAAACCCACAAATGGTCCCCAGCACTTTTGTGGATGCTTCTCAAAAGCCACTGGAGCGTCCACTGTGGTCAGAAACTCAGAGAGGAAAGTGCCTGTACCATTCTGGGGAGCAGCTTGTGAGGTCACAGTATCAGGCAAACAGTAGGAATTTATGTCACCCCAACTCTAGGCTGGGAGGTGTCCAAACATGAGGGGGCATTTATGGCTACACAGCACCTGGTTTCTCTTCACATTCAAGGTTATATATTTCAAAAAGGCAGACTCATTATATGACAAAGAGAGATGTACAAGTCATCAGACAGGCTGTCTGGGAGTGTTCCAATGGCTGAGATGATTCTGCCACAGGGTCAGTCCCTGACAAACAGGTGACAGGATGAGGGGACCGCAGATAGTTGTCATACCAACTCAGTGAAGGGTTCCCCCTTGGCCAGAGGCAGTGATTGAATTCCCCTGTTGGGATGGAGCTCAGAAGGCAAAGGGCTGGCATTGTCAAGCTCTTAATCCAAGGTGAAGCACAGTATAGGACACTGGGAAATGAATAAGTGCAGTCCCAAGCAATCTGCCTGCATGGCCTGTACCCACGAAAACTGCCTTTGAAGAGGCTGGCAGTTGTCTTTGGTCCTTTAACAAATCCTATTATGATAACTCCACAATGAGTAACAGGAGGCAGGATTGGATTTAAATTTTACTTTTACAAAATAGAGATGTTTTAAAACCTTGAAATTCACAGAATCACTGAAAATGCTGCAAACCTGAAACATGAAGCAGCCGATCCCTCTTGCCTTTAAGACTGGGCCCTGAGATTTTCCCTGCTCTGAAGGAGCTCCAGTTGAAACAACTTCTGCAAGAAGAGTGGAGTTGCCAAACCAGAGCTGGCAGGAAAGTCGCTCCATAAAATGAGAACAGAATGGAATGCACTCTTACCTTTGAGTTCAAGTGCATGTTGAGATTTTTATCTGAAATTAATTCTGATTAATATCAACTTGGACTGAAGGAGGAAAACATTCAAGCTTGTGTTTATACTTGTTGATACGCATAAAGGATACACCTTAAATCTGAGTCATAATACTGGAATAAGAGACGATTGGGAAACCCACGCCACTGTTAACAGTCTCCCCAAGAACGTCAATGTTCCAAATTCCCCAAGACACAAAATCTGTTTCAATGAATTGATGGATCACTCCTTGGATGTAAGGACAAGCTATGGTTGAGGGCCCTTACCCTGCCCATACCACTTTGCTCTTTTGAGTTTTTGCCTTGGTTTCTCACTTCAATACTTCATTTTTCAATTACTTTACAGAGAAAGAGAAATGGGCACATCTTCTATGCATGCTTTAAAAGCTTCATGGCTGGTGTAGAGAGAAGAGAGAGGATTGAGTACCATGTTCAGAGGAGAGCATAGCTTTCATGACAATTGCACACATGTAAACAAGTGAAGGAGACAGCAAGCCCAGCTGTTCAGGTGATGGTGATGCATGTTCCTGCAATCAGCTTTCCATATTGAGCCTGAATCCTTGCCTTTACCCCAATTAGATCTCTTAGTGGAGGTAAAATGGAATTTCCAAATTTGCAAGATTTGGAACGAGGCAAGATAAGCCCTATCAACAAGGAAAAGCAGGTTTTTCTCCTTCTCCACTCTGAACGTAAAAGCCTACACTCTGTGGACAGACACTCTTACATTCTGTATTCCTCTTTTCATGGTTTCTCATCAAAAAGTTAAAGTGTACTGCTGGATGCCCACAGCTCAGTGGTTAGGTGTCAGCCACACGCACTGGGGCTGGTGGGTTTGAACCCAGCCAGGGCCTGCTAAAACAACAACAAATAGCCGGGCGTTGTGGCGGGCACCTGTAGTCCCAGCCACTGGGGAGACTGAGGCAAGAGAATCTCTTGAGCCCAAGAGTTTGAGGTTGCTGTGAGCTATGACACCATGGCACTCTACCAAGGGTGACAAAGTGAAACTATCTCAATTAAAAAACCAAATTAAAGTGTACAAAACAATGATCTCTGATGGCTTCCCATCTCCCTCAAAGTAAAAGCAGAGTCCTAGAAGGCCCTTATCATCAGGCCATCAGCCAATACTCACTCCTGGTCCTAATTCCTTCATCCTCTTTCAAATGTGCTAGTGACTCCTTGGGCATTTCAGGCACGTTCTTGTTTCAGGCCTTTCCTCTGGCTCTTTCCCCCTCTGGATTGCACTGCAGTGCTCACACGGCAAAATGGCTTCTTAATTCAAATGTCACTTTCTCGATAGAGGCTTCCTGAGCTATCCTCCCAAACAACTCCTATCCTTTTTCCTAGCATATCACATCATTCACTTTTTCAGTCTCATTTATTGTCTGTCTCTTCACTCGAAGGTAAGCTCCATGAGGACAGTATTTTATTCACTGCAGTGTCTCCAGTGTCCAGAACAACGCCTGGTGCACATACAGTAAGAGCCCGGTCAATACCGACTGAACGAATACATGAACAAACTCACCTCTCCTTCACACGCACACAAAGGCTGGTGGTTTTTATGCTGGGGCACTAGATGCATTCCCACCGTGATCCTCCCTGCAAATGGCTGGTTGCTCTTTCCACGCGCCACCCCTGTCCAAAGCACCTCACAGTCACTAGCTTATTAATCTTCACCACCAGCTCCTGAGCTGAGTGTGAGCGTCCTCAGTTTTCAAGGAACAAATGATGAGCCAGGTAGATAAATAACCAGTCCACATTGGCTTACTCAGACGTGGTGCAACTCAAAGGCAAGGGTGAGACTCTGTAGGTCTCAACCCGGGGTGAGTTTGCTCTCCAGAAGACATGCAGCAATCTCTGGAGACGTTTTTCATTGTTATAACTGAGGGTTGCTATGAATCCTGGTGGGTAGATATTAAGGATGCTGCCAAACGTCCTGCCATGCACAAGGCAGCCTCCCATAACAAAAAATTATCTGGCTCACAAGGTCAATGGTGTTGAGGTTGGGAAACCCTAGTCTAACTCCATAAACTGTTTTTAGTCATTTGGCAGTTTTGCTCGATTTGCTAGTGGCAGTGCAGACTGCGCCAACCCTTTCATGCGGTGATGGGACGGTGTTGCTTGAGAGTGTTGAATGTTTTCCTATCTTTTGAGCCTGCAGTCCTAATTCCGTAAATCTAGCCTAAGGAAATACTAATCTAAAATGTTTTGCTATTTGTAATAGTAAAAAGCTGGAAACCACCTACTGTCTGGTAATAAAGGAATCATTAAGGAAAGTCAAGAATATCCACTTGTTTGAACATTAAACAGCCACTAAAATGATATGTAATGCGCGTTTATCAGACACGGGAAAGGGCTCACATAGAAATGTCAAATGTTAAAGTTAGATTTCAAAATTATGGAAGTGGTATAACTATTAAACAACTGACAACAATGGGTATAGAAAAGAGGTAAAGCAGAAATACACTAAAATATTAATAGTATGTTAGCACCATGTCTGGTAATTGCTTTCTTTTATTTTATGGTATATTACTTCCAAAATGTTCTATAATTATAATATGTTCATTTTATGATGGGAAAGATGTCATTTAAGAAATCCAGGGGTTTTTTCTCTTGTAAAAAGAGAGCATTCTCTCTGAAGTGACCTTTAGATCTGTGGTGGTGGGTTTGTCTCTTATATGGTCTTACTAACAGTTTTTAATTTGTGTTTATTATTATTCCTTTTAAGTAACTGTCTTTGTTATAGGAAGCAAGGAATGCTTAGTATGGAGTATGAGCCAGAAATAGCTCCATCTTGGCCAGTTTTTATAGCTACCAGAAGCATTTTATTAAGTCGTCCTGCTTTTTTTTTTTTTTTTTTAATGTTTTAAAAACATTTGACTCCATTAGTGCAAAGAATTTTTACACTTAGAACTGGGACTGCTGTTTGGGACCTACAGGGACACCTGGAAAGTGGGGTGGCAGTGGTTAAACTCCCTGTGGGTGTCCAGAACTGGGTGCCACAAGTCTAGGGACAATAGGTGTGGGTTTAGGACCTTGGTTCAAATCACAGCTCTGCACCCTGTGGTGTGGCCTTGAGTGAGTTCTTAACCCTTTGTGTCCTCTCTGAATTCCAAGCCCATGTTTAAAACCACTACAAAATGCTGTAGCCATTAAACATGGCTGAGTACCTGATAGACTCCATGCTCTTTGGATACTATGATCTGGGACCATCCACTTGAAGACAGCTATCCCACAGCCAGCCTTGTCCCCCATACTCAACCTTCACCCCACTTTCCTTATTCCTTTTTTTTTTTTTTTGAAACAGAGTCTCACTCTGTCACTCTTGGTAGAGTGCAGGGTGTCATAGCTCACAGCAGCCTCAAACTTTTGGGCTTAAGTGATCCTCTTGCCTCAGCCTCCTGAGGAGCTATGACTAGGCCCCTGTCACAATGCCCAGCTAATTTTTTTCTAAAAAATACACGATGCTTCACAAATTTGCATGCTATCCTTGTGCAGGGGCCATGCTAATCTCCTCTGTCTTGTTCCAATTTAGTATGTGTGTTACTGAAGAGAGTACTCCCCGTGTTTTTATCTCAACAAACTTTGAGGCTTAGCCCACAAAAGTTGTGACACCACGTCTGAAAGCCTCAATCTGAGAGTCTCTGGTTGGGACTGGGCTTTCATGTAAACCTGCCTTCACCCTCTGGACAGATTGGGGTGAGGCTTGGGCTGCAGCCCAAAATGAGGTAGGCACACGGAGCGGCTGCAGAGACAGCATCCCATCCTCGCTCACTCCAGCACTATCTGGGCAATGAAAGAACAGAGAACTCAGTTATTTAATTAACCCACAGAGTCTCTGGAATGTAAACATTTTCTTTGTAAAGCCCTGAGACCTCTCTTGTTTCCGGCAGGCCTTTATTTCTGCCTCTCCTTCTGTTTCTCTGCTCTTGACCGCCCTGTGATACATTGCTGGATGACTTGTTTGCACAGAGGAACAGGCTTTATTCCCGTCCCCCGCCCCTAAAATTCTCAAGGCGATAGAAATTTTCTCCCTTATCAATTTTCCACGGAGTGGCCTTCTATTCCCTAATGGCGCTGGATGGTACACATGGCAGACACTGGCTGAAACAAAAGGAAAAACAAGAAGATAGAGACACACACAGGCAGCCTCCCTGCCTATTCCCAGTGTGTCCCACTGACAATGCTGTGTGGAAGGGAAATTGTTCTATCAGCCCCTGTGTTAGATTCATGACCCCACCACAACCTTGAATTGGCCTTTAGTTGTCGCTGATGGGAACTGAAGAACAGCGCCTGTCGACATGATTGCTACTCTCCAATGAATCAGAACATACAGGGCGAGGAGCAGCACATTAAAGTAGCAACAGAAATATATCACTGTACTTTTATATAGATGTATTGCTTTTGCCCAAGCATATAAATGATTGGGCCAGCCACTTATTTTTTTTTCAAGGACTATAAATTAAAAATAAGCTAAGGGTTTTAAAATTATGTTCTTTTTAAAAAATCAGGATAGCTATTTTAAGGCAAGAGTCAAATATTTAAAGATCATCTTATAGGGATATTTCAGCCACTGTCACTGGGAGGGAAACCAGCCCTTGCCACCTGCACTCAGGTTACTTAACACAGAGGCACTGATTTATCATGGGTCGTCATTTGCTAATTGATCATTGTTTTTTTTTTTCCTAAAGTAAATGTTTCCTATTTTTACATCTCTAGGTGCTTGTTGAAGAAAGTATAGTTCACAGATTTAAGTTGTGATTTAAACAGGCCGCGAGTGTATTCGGCAGCCTAGAGCAAGATGTTTTGAGAGTGAAGGTGTTCAGAGAAAGATCAGAGACAGGATCAGTGATTCTTAAATTTGGAGGTTATTGGACCCCATTGAGAATATGCTGAAGCTGATAAAACCTCTCTCCAGGAACACTCACGCATGCTTGTCCCCATCAGCAAAATTTTTCATTTCACTTCAAGGGCTCCCAGTGTCTCCGAAGCCCCCTCCCTGCATCTTAGATTAAGATCCTCTGCTTTTGAGGTTATCTTGCAAAACTATAAAGTCGTGACATCCTGAGATATGGTGATTAACTACAACGTGTGTCTAAAGAAACTAGCTACTAGGAATAGGTCAAGTACATCTAGATGTTTGCAAATGATTTGCTTTTTGAAATAGACACATTGGAAAAGGAGTCAAAGGTTTTGGTTGACTTCATCACTCTCTCTCAGTCAGCAGAGCCACCGAGACCTGCCTACCTCCCTGACATCATCTGTTACCACTTTTCTTCTTGTCCTACATGAGCGGTTCTTAACCTGTGGGTCGCAACCCACAGGAACTGTATTAAAGGGCTGCGGCATTAGGAAGGTTGAGAACCACTGTCCTAAAAGTTCCTGCTAAGTTATTTCCTGTCTTGGCATATTTGCAGAGCTGGGCAACATTCTAGGCACAGATGGAACAAGATCACAAGATCTATCTTTTGAGGACCTAATATACTGTGGAGGGAAACAGGCGAGTTTGACCATTTCAAATGGTATGAAGAAATTAACATTGAGTGATGATGAGTTACAAAGTGACCGCCTCATTTAGGAGATTGTAGCTGAGATTTCAGCTGACATTGGAGAAATGAGAAATAGCCCCAGGTCAAAAGAAAACATTTTCTGGCAAATCCAGTAGCAAGTGCAAAAGGCCTGAGTCTGGAAAGAACGTGGTGGGTTGGAAGGTGAGGAAGTAGGCTGTGTGGCACAGTACAGGTGTTCTCCGGGAGAAACTTAAATGATCCGTGCTGCTGCCCGGCTGGTTGATATGCTACGAGCAGTGATTACAAATTAAGTGTTTTATTCCCTGCAATAATTTTGACTTTCGGTCAAAGTTTAGGTACGCAAATTCAGGTAATTTAAGACCTAATTTGAGATGGGTTAATAGGAGGCCCAGAATATTGAGTAATTTCCCCAAGGTCACACAACTGGCTAGTAAGTTAGCTTAGAGACCAAAGAAAAGCCCTGATTTCTCTATGTTGGGAGTAGAATTCTAACACCACTCTGTCTTCCTGTTGTCTTCCTATGATTGAACAACGGTCACTTTATCTTAGAAACCAATCTGGTGCCTGGTTTCATGTGCAGTCATGGCCCAGAGACACACCATCATTACATGGTTTTCAGCCTCCACGAATTTCTGTTAAGCATCCACCCCAGGGTTTCTGATTTATTCAGTGATTGATGTGGCCAAAGGTGAACTAAAAGTCTCTCACTCCTGAAGGAAACCAGAATTACATCTCTGGGCCCAGTACTGAGATCTGTGAGGCCATTATAAGTTCTGGGTCCTCACCTGCCTGCAATGGGACAGACGGACTCCCAGTTTTGGATGTCTATGCCGGCAAAGATAGCAATGCCCCCCTAGGCTCACATAACAACTGGATTGACAGCAGTCTCAATTTTGACTAAGTGTGGGAATTCTTTGATCTCGTGGAATCACATGTTTTTAAAAAACTAGACAAAGAAATCTAGTGAGTGAAATATTTGGGGTAGCTTTAAACTAGCAAAGACTGAGCTAATTCTAGCCATCACTACATCTAATGAAGGCCGTATCAGAACTGAACTCTCTTCATTGAAAATATTCCAAGAAAGAGTGTGGCCCAGTCAATATTGAAATATCTTGTTAGTAAACATGCTTGGAAAAATGAATCTAGCCCATTCTGGATTCTGACAAAATCTAGGTTCCTAGTCCCCTCTTTCAGCAGCTGAAATCTACCTTATCTCCAGCAGAATTCTCTCTCTTTTTACACCGCTGGTGGGAATGTAAACAGGTCATTCTTTCAGGAGCGTAATTTGACTGGTGAGTATCAGGAAACTCTAAAACCAGGTAGTCTTTGACCCCACAATTATATTTCTAAGATTTGATCATAAGGAAATCAGAAATTCTTGCATGATCATATGGCAAGTTTTATACAGCAAGATAGTCACAGCAGCTTAGTGAAATATTGAGAATAATCTAGAGGAGACTGGAATCTCCCAAAATGTGTTCAACAAACATTGGTCTCATAATATTACACTCACACACACACACACAATTATGTAATCAAATAAGTTTGGGGCACACATAACATATCTTTCTTGTGAGAAATTACAAGGCACATTAGCAAGAATTTTCTCAGAAGAATTCCTGCAAAAAATGAAATCTACTATTTAACCATGTTTAACTTGGCATTTCTCCAAATTCCTTTGGTCAAAATATATTTCAAGAAATACCGGGTTAAATAAATTTATATATCTGTATTGCGGAATGCTTTGCTGCTATTAAAAACAACATTAAAGAATATTGATTCTTTGGGGTAAGTGCTGCTGATATATTGTTGAGTGGGGGGGGAAAGCAGGTTATATAACAATGAATATTTCATTAACCTAATTTTGGAAATAAAATGAATATGTGTGCAGTTATACCAAAATAAGAACAGATTTGGTCTCCTGGTGCTGGAATCGCTGATGGTTTTTTCTTTCAGCTTTTCTGAATTTTTCTAATTTTCTGAAATGAATAGTCATTAATCTTTATGAGAAAAAAATACTATAGTTTACTTTTAACTATTTTGAAATAAGCGTAGAATTCCAAAATACGGCGACAAACAGCAGTTTTCTTACACCCTTTACTCAGCTTCCCCTTGTATTAGCATCTTGGAAAATTATAGTACAGTTATTGAAATCAAAAATTAACATTTATGAGATACTCATTTGAATTTCCCACCAGTGTCGTCTTTCTGGTCCAGGGCCACACAGTGTATTAGCAATCATTTCTTCTTAGTCTCCTGGAGTTTCTCAGTCTTTCATTAACTTCAGTGATCCTGATACTTTTAAAGAATTCTGGCTACTTATTTGTGGAATGCTCCTCAATTTGAGTTTCTGTGCGTTCTCAGCTCTGATTCATGAGTTTTCCACATTTTGGCCAAAACATCATCAAAGGCACAGCGTGCCCTTCTCAGTGCCTCAGTGCAATGAGGAGTTGCGTGCTGTCAGTATACTGTATTACTGGTCTCATTAACTTTGATCACTTACTAAGTACCTCGTGGGAAGATATTCTGAAACTATGCAAGTATCCTGTTTCTCATCACACTTTCACCTGCTAATATCTGTATCTGTTGGGGATTCTTACCTGTAAAAGTCTTCCTAATAGTGATTCTATTTTTATCACTTTCCACATGTATTAATCAGAAACTAAAGAATACGTATTTAATTCTTCAAATATTTTTATGTTATTTATTTTATTTATGGGTTACAATGACTTTAACTATTTTTCTCCAACTATCCCTGATTTGGCTTTCAGAATCCCTTCTAGTTTATTCCTACATCCTCTGAACATGTCCCAGTTCTTTTTTAAACAGTTCTTTCCTTCCTGGCACACAAAATATTCCAGATCACCTTGTACTTTTCCCTTTCTCATTCAGACATTTCTCCAAGGAGTTCCTCCTTCTGTTGGAAAAAGTAGCATACGGGCTCCAAAGAGGTGTACTCTTTGCTACTTGGGTACCATTGTTGATTCTAGGCCTTCTGACTAGAGAAAGAAATATGCAAAACATACTC